AGTAAGACTATTTTAGATGTTTTTAAGCAATATTATCAGTTTGAGCAGTAAAAACTGTTACTAATTTTTGGAAGCTTGCTTATTTATGGGTAAAGTCTAAAGAGAAGCTACCCATCTCTCCCACCCCAGTCAGTAACGGCTTTCTGCCCCTTGTAAAATATGCAGGGAGAGCTCTGTGTTGTACTGCTTGAGCCTCACAGATTTACACTGTAAGGTGGAGTGTTTGCACTCAGAGAGATTATTTACTAATCTTAGAGTGGAGACACAGAATGATGAGTGAATGAGGGTTGTTTGTGTGTGAGAGAGCAGATATAATCGAGTCATTCATGTCTTCATTTGATATAATCTGAGTTGAAATTCTAAAAATAAAATTTGCTCTACTGTGACCACAAATTCATTTATTCAATCACTTACAAATGTTTATTGTGAATCTGTTACAGACAGGGTGCTAGTACTAGGAACTCGTTCAGTAGTGAACAAAGAGTCTGCCTTCATAGAGCTTACATTCTAGTGAAGGATACGGATCATTAAAAAGTAAGCAAACACAAATAACATAATTTCAGTTAGTGTAAGTACCACAAAGAAAATAAAGCAAGGTAAAAAGAGTGTAACAGTTAGGGTCCAGCTAGGAGATGAAAGTCACACAGTTTTTGAACAAGGAAAGCTTAGTAGAATTACTATAGTCCGTGAGTTGGAGTAAAGAAAACTCTAAAGAATGTAGGAATAGCAGTTAGGAGACGCAGCCATCACTGGTAGGGCTAAGATAGAGTGCCCAAGGAGGAGTCCTTTCCCCCAAGTCTAAGATCCTGGCTTTGTTGGAGAGAGTATGACCATGTCTCACTGAATGGCAAAGAAGTCACTGGTGCCACACTGGTGAAACTTACTGGAAATTCATTTTTTAGAATTTGACAAGAAATGTGACCCCTAGGGTAGAGGTTGGCAAACTGTGGCCCTTGGGCCAGCCATTTGTTTTGTGAATAAAGTTTAATTGGAACATAGCCATGTTTAGTTTAATACATATGGTCTGTATAGTTGCTTTCTTGCTACAAGGACAGAGTTATGACTTTATGATCTGCAAGCCTAAAATATTTACTCTCTAGCCCTTTAAGAAAATATTGGGGGTGGCCTGTTAGCTCAGTTGGTTAGAGCGCAGTGCTCATAACACCAAGGTTGCCGGTTCGATCCCCATGCCCTCCACAACTAGGTTGAAACAACTACTTGACTTGAAGCTGATGGGTCCTGGAAAAACATACTGCCCCTCAATTTAAAAATGTTTCTTTAAAAAAAGAATATGTTTATTAGTCCTTGCTCTAGAGTACCCTAGAAAGTTGTCAATGGGATGTCTTGTCAGATATACTCTGTTTTGAACCCTCCCAAGGGAGGGAGAGTGTCTGGTGCAGCTGCTAGCCTTGGGGTGCTGCTGACCTCCATGCACTGCAAGAGTTAAGTGCTGGAGAGCCTGCATGCACTTCAGAAGCCTGTCAAGGACACACTGGAACCAGGAAGTAGAATCCCTTCTTATAATATCTCTCTAGTATCTTCTATTGACAAAGCTTAATACTATGCCAGCCAGAAAAAGAAAGATATTTTACAGGACCCAGTTCAGTGTTTGCAGAGCAATGAAGAGTTAATTTGGAGTGATAAATTGATAACTAAAACCAGCTTGTAAAATGACAGATTTGTGGGTATTTTGGGTAGTGATGAAGAAAGTCTCTCTGAAGAGATGTTTGAATGAAGACATGAATGATTAGAAAAGATGGACCAAAGGGGAATGGCAAATATAAAGGCCTTGAACATGGCACGTTCATGTGATTGGAGAAGGCCCATGTGGTTCGAGTGTCGTGAGAGAATGTGAGAGTGAGGTCAGAGAGGTAGAAGGAGCAGGTGGTATAGAGCAGGGATCGGCAAACTTCTGAAACGGATTAGCCAATCCTGTCCCTCAGAGTTTTGCGAGACCTATAAAACAAATGAAATCAGCATTATGTATGTATGTGAATAATAGCCTTTAAAAATTTTATGAATGAAACTATGATAGTTTTATTTTCATTTTCATTTTTACTTCAGAGCCACATGTACATACCCAAAGAGCCGCATGTGGCTTGTGAGCCGCAGTTTGCTCACCCCTGGTGTAGAGCGTTAGTTAGGGCTGTGATAAGGAGATTGAGAATGAGAGAACTAGTTAGAAGACCTGTCAGTTTTTCCACTATGACATTGAAAAGACTGTGGCTGAGACTAGGGTAGTAGCAGTGGAAGTGATGAGAAATGGTTGGATTTGATATTTATTTTGATGGCAAAGCTGCAGAACTTACTGATAATAAACTGACTGGAGTTGGAGGAGAGACAGAAGAATTAAGACTGACTCACTGATTTGGCCTGAGGAACCGAATGAATGATGGTACCATTTGCTCAGACGGGGGGATATTTCAAGAAATGCAGGTGGGGATTCTTTTGGGGCGTTATTAACTTTGAGATTACAAATGGATCCCTAGTGTTATTCATTTTGCTTATGTTTTCATTGATCACACTTAGTCATATGGGCACACCTAGTTTCAAAACAGGTAGGGAAGTGCAGTGCTAGGAAGAAGAACAAATATTTCTGAACAGCCTAACTGACTTCTATACTCCCAAGACATTCAAGTGGAAATGTTGAATAGGATGTTTGGCTATGAGACTGGCATTCACAGTGGAGTTTTGAGCTTGTGAGTATTAAAGCCATGCACGGGACTAGGTGAGATCATCCAGGGAGACAAATGAAGATAGAAGGAACTGAAAGATAGGGTATTCCAACGTTTTTAGGGCATGAAGATAAGAAAAACTCAGCAAAAGAGATTGAGAAGGAATAGTGAGAGAGGAGGAAAAACAGGGACTGAGGTCATAGAAGTTACTGGAAGAAAATTGCTCAAGAAGATGATCAACTGTGTCAACTGCTGTTACGAATATTGTTATACATCTTTCCTGGTGTATATAAGCAAGAAATTTTTCTAAGGTATATATGACTACTTTGAAGAGGAGAATGCTGGAAAATAGGGTATGAAGTGTTCAACTTCAAGGTAGTTCAAATTATTTTCCAAAGAGATCAAACCAGTTAATACTCCTTTTAGCCATGCATGATATTTTCCATTAATTCACATCTTCAAAACTTCATACTATGCTTCCTAATTTTTACCAGTCTAATGGATGTAAAGTGTTACCTCAACAAAGTTAATTTATAATTCCCCAATTACTAATAAGTTCAAACCCGTTTTTTGAAAATTAACTTTATTGGAGTGACAATGGTTAGTAAAATTACATGGGTTTCAAGTGTGCATTTCTATAATACATCATCTGTGTATCACATTGTGTGTTCACCACCCAGAGTCAGTTCTCCTTCCATCACCATGTATTTGATCTCCTTTACCCTCTTCTGCCACACACCCCCCTTTCCCTCCCCTTACCCTCTGGTAGCCACTAAATTGTTGCCTGTGTCTGAGTTTTTGTTTCTTTGCTTGTCTTTTTGTATTGGCCATTTGTGTTTCCTATTCTATGAGATGTTTGACCATTTTTCTCTTGGGTGGTTTATCTTTTAGTATTTATAGGAACTCCTTGTATATTCTGTATACTCATTTTTGGATGTATGTGCTGCCTATACCTTCTCTCAGTTTGTGCCTTTTTACTTTTAACAAGTAGTTCGTGATTTCAGTATAATTTAATATATCAGTCTTTTTTTGTGGTTCATGCTTTTTCTTCAGAATGTTTTACCTTACCTACCTCAAGGAGAGAAAAATACTTTTCCATTTCTCGTCTTCTGCAAGTTTTAGAGGTTTGTATTTCACATCTTAAGTCTTCATTCATTGGAATTGATTTTTCTGTGTGGTATGAGGGATCTAGTTTCATTATTTTTAATATATTTAGTTGTCCTAGCTCCTTATTGAGTAGTTCCTTCTTTCCCCAATGATATGTGTTGCTATCTCTGTTTTATAGCAACATTATATTTAAATATTGTGGTTTTGTTTCTAGGTTCTCTGTTGTGTTCCATTGGACAATTACAACAACATGCCTTAATTACTGTAGCTTTATAAAAAAAAATCATGATTTTTGGAGGGCAACTTATTCTTCAGGAGTCTATGACTATTGGTCTTTGCTCTTCTGTACGTGTTTCAAAATCAAGTTCCATTAGGGAGTGGAGAACTACTGGGATTTTTATTGGAATTGCATTGAAACTATAAATCAGATTAGGGAAAATGGATATCTTTATAATACTGAGTATTCCCATGATCAAGGCATATTTCTAAATTCATTTTATTTTTTACTAAAATTTTATGATTTTTTGCAGTTAGGTCTTGCACACCTTTTTAGGATTTCGTCCTAGGTATTTTATGGATGTAACTGGTGTCCTTTAGTTAAAAATACTTTTCTAACTGTTGCTGGTAATTAGAAACACAAGTAACATTTGTATGTTGATTATAAATCAGTGAGCTAATCATTTTACTGATTTGGTGTCTCTTAAGTGTACATCCATCGCATTTGTAAATGATAGTTTTGTTCTTTTTTTCAGAATCTTATACCTTTAATTTGTTTTATTTTTTGCAGTGGATAAGATCTCAGTAGGGGTGTCAAATAGAAACAGTGATCATGGGATCCTTTTCCTTATTTTTAAAGGGAATGTTTTTAACATTTCCTCCTTTAGTTACTAGTTGTTAAAATTGAGAGTTTTGAATTTACTTTTTTGTTGTTGATGTCAGACTTAATTGGGTAACTTACAGGGGAGAGAGGCATGCCAGATGGAGGATACAGGAAAAAGTTGACTTTGGGGGGGGGGTGGGTAGATAGGTTTGAAATAGACAATAGGTTGAAAACATAGTGAGTTAAAGAACATTGTGTAAAAATGTTGACAATTGGAAATTCAAGTGTGAAATTTGAGATGGACAGAGGTGTAGACATAATCATCATACATAATAAAGTCAATAATTGGATACACTGGTGTAGATCAGATTGCCTAAGGAAAGAGTGTAAAAAGTGCCATGATCAAGGATAGACACCTAAAAACACACTACCTCTTGGTAGGTGGAAGGCAATTAAAAAGAAATATGAGAGATAGGAGAGCCTATAGTGTATAGTTTCAAAGCCAAGAGTAGAACATTTAAAGAGGGGATTGTCAGTAATGCCAAATGAAATGACACAGAGGTATAGAAAGATCAGGACTGAAAAGAGAACATTGAATTTGGCACTTGACATTTTAGAAAAAAATGGCTTCAGTGGTGTGAGGGAAACAAACCAAGTTTTAGTGAAAGTTAGTAGATGATCCTAAATTGGAGCTGATGGATTTAATATATTTGTCAAATTTTGCAGTGAAGGAAAAGATAAATGGGGTCGGTAGATAAGAGAGGGAAGTAAGTTAAAGGAAAAGCCCTTTTAAGATAGGAAAAAATGTATGCATTTTTAATTTTAAGGTATTACCTAATAACCAACACTAGTTATTATCCAACTCTTCAAGTTTTGCCTATCTAGTAAGTAAAAATCATTATTTGTTTCGCTAATACATTCAGTAATGATTGAGACTGGATCTCCCTAAAATTCACATTGGGTTTTTCATTTGTTAGAATTTTTTTATTAATGCAATTAACCTTTTGTCTTAATATTTTGTGTATATACATAAAAGTGGAATTATAGGGTTATATGGTAATTCTGTGTTTAATTTTATGAGGAGCTACCATACTGTTTCCACTACAGCTGCACTGGTATACATTTCCTTCAGTAATGCACAGCGGTTCCAATTTCTCTGCATCCTCCCCAACACTTGTTTTCTGTTTTGTTTTGTTTCTCTCTCTCTCTCTCTGTGTCCCCTTCTCCCCCCCCACCCCGCCACCGTGTGCGTTAATAGCCATCCTAATTGTTGTGAAGTGGTTATCTCTTGGTTTTGTTTTTCATTTTTCTAGTAATCAGTGATGCTAGGCATATTTTCATATATTAGCCATTTGTATATCTTCTTTGGAAAAATGTACATTCAAGTCCTTTGCCCATTTCTAATCAGGTTGTTTGTTTTTGTTGTTGATTTGTAGAGGTTCTTTATATATTATGGATAGCAACCCCTTGTTAGATATATGATTTGAAAATATTTTCTTTGATTCCATGACTTGCCTTTTCACTCTCTGTTAGCGTTCTTTGCACAAAAGTTTTTTTTTTTTTAAGTTTGAGGTAGCCCCATTGTCTATTTTTGCTTTTATAGCCTGTGCCTTAGGTGTTATCTAAGAAATTGTTGCCAAATCCAGTGTCATGAAGCTTTTCCCCCTAATGTTTTCTTCTCACAATTCTTATAACTTGAGCTCTTTGATCCATTTTGAATTAATTTTTGTATATTGTGTAAGGTAAGGGTTCAGCTCTGTCCTTTTGCCTGTTAGTGTCCAGTTTCCAAGCATCATTTGTTGAAAAGACGGTCCTTTCCTTATTGATGGTCTTGGCACCCTTATAAAAAAAAAATCTTTGGACTGTATACATCAGAGTTTATTTCTGGGCTCTCTATTCTGTTCTATTGGTCTGTCTGTTTTTTTTTGTTTTTGTTTCTTTCCTTTTTAAAATGACACATTATGAGAAAAATTAATTGTTGTTACATAATTATTATTGTGGGGACATTTCAATGGCAAAAAACAGTCAAAACAAGAACGATTTCTTTGGCTCTATAGCCACATTAGGAAAGTATTTCTTCATGTTGCCTGGCTCTTTAAATTCAATACTTGGTTCAATTTCTGCTATATTTTCTTTTAAAACACCAAACGTTGAGCTGTTCAGCCTATAGAGTTATATATTGAGTATTATTTCTGTTGGTAGGTCTGCTAATTTTAAAAAATTACATATTTTAAACTCTATAAGGTGTCATATGGGCACTAGACCTAATAGGGGTAATCACTTTGTAAGTTATATAAATATCTAATCACTGTGTTGTACACCTGAAATTAATATGATATTGTATGTCAACCTTAATAGAAAAATAGAAAAAATAAAAATAAAGAATATAATCATACTAGATTTAAAAAGTTATATATTTTAAAATGTTTTCCTCATTATAATTGTCAATCTTGCACAATGAAATACTAAATAAGTGAACTGAATTATTCATTATGTATTTCCAAATAAATAAATGGAAATATACCAATATTCTTTAATGATTATGTAATAACAGTTGTAAAATACCTGTATGACAAGCTACAATCTCCTTGCTCAATTTTAAGTATCAGAATTTCCTGAATCTTCAGTATTCCATCCCAATAAAGAAAGAAAAGCATTTGCTTTTGCTTTTTCACACTATAGCACCAAAAGATTAGATAGTAGATTTTTTTCTAAATTATTTTCTTCCAGTGTCTAATAGCCTGGATATAAAAATCTTTTAATTCTGTTAACATTTTTTTTAATAGTTTCAGGTGTACAAAACAATGCAGTAGTTATACTTTTCACCCCTCACAAAGTGGCAACTCCCCTCCCCCAATCCACCGCCCTCTCACCCCCAATATCATACATATCTGTTACAATTCCATTGGTCTGTCTTTATGCGAGTACCATGCTGTTTTGATTACTGTATTTTTTTAGTAAGTTTCAAATTATTTTTTGCATGAAAGAATAATTAGTGACTTTATTCATTAGTAACCAAATGTCTTACTGAATTCTCCTACAGTTTTTCAATTGATTGTACAAAGATATAATTATGTCTATTGCAAATGATAAAATGCTTCTTCCCCTCAAATTTTATCATATTTTTGTCTAATTGCACTGGCTTTACAACTATTAAATAATTATGCTGGCTACATATTGTATTTTTCTTGTTCCTGATTTAATAGAAATGCTTCTACTATTTTTCCATAGCGTATGATGCAGCTTTTGGTTTGAGACATACCTCCTAAGCTTTTGAAGTTGACATCCAAAAGCTTAATTGCAGTTTGGCACTTAATTGGAGTTTGCTTATGTTGCCGTTAACAGGAATAAAATGTTTGTTAGAAGGTATCATGAAAGGATTGCCCAGTTTGAGAGTTTATATGGATCATCTAGTGTCAGAGGATCTTAACTAATTGACTTTTTTATTTTTTCAGAATGGCCAAAGTTTTCTGGTTTTGGATGAACAAAGATTTGCAAAAGAAATTCTTCCCAAATACTTCAAGCACAATAACATGGCAAGCTTTGTGAGGCAACTGAATATGTGTGAGTATGGACAGCAATTTGTTTGGAGTACTGTTATCAACCACTGATTAAACCATTTTTTCCCATTAGGATGATAAAGAGGAAAATATGCTCCATAGAAGCACCATTATTTTTTTACTTTTCTCTGTTTTAGTCATCTGAATTTCGAATCTTTTTCAGATGGTTTCCGTAAAGTAGTACATATTGACTCTGGAATTGTAAAGCAGGAACGAGATGGTCCTGTTGAGTTTCAGCATCCTTACTTCAAACAAGGCCAGGATGACTTGCTGGAGAACATTAAAAGGAAGGTTTCATCTTCAAAACCAGAAGAAAATAAAATTCGTCAGGAAGATTTAACAAAAATTATAAGTAGTGCTCAGAAGGTTCAAATAAAACAAGAAACTATTGAGTCCAGGCTTTCTGAATTAAAAAGGTGAAGTATTATTTTTACATATAATTGTAACATGGGGGTTGGTGTGTGTTGTGTGTTGGGCATGGAAGGTTGGTATTTTAAGTACTTTTAGATCATGTTGTTGAAGCCAAGATCAAAGGTCATTTTTCTGTAAGTATTGGTTCCCTTTATTTTTGATCTGTAGCCATAGACTTTACCCCAATATTGTATTTTCATAATGTTGGTGGAAAGAATATATAAACCTGGGCATTCAAAACTGATGCACAAGCCTAACTGATGAAACAATAGATCTTAAAATTGGTGTATGAAATATGATTCTACTTAGTTTAGCTTTTATATGATGTTCACACACAAGTTAGGGCACACATGCCATAAGTACTACATATGTTACCCATTCTTTTCTTTTGTGATGTTTTTTAAAGACTTTTCTATGTGACCTATCAGGAAAAAGTAGGGCACAAAAAGTAGGGGAAAAAGGACACAGGAGACTCGTTCTACTTGATACTTAACTTTACATAGACTGGGGAAAGGTTTATTCAAACATTTTACCTACACAGAAAGATGATTTACTTTGTTTAACTGCAGTTCTTGGCACCATTATTGTAACTTGCCACAGTAACAGTTTGTGTATACAGTAGGTGTGTGCTGCTTTTTTAGTAAAAGTAGCTGGGATTTTCTCTAATCCTAATAAGTGCCAAGGTCTTGAGAGTAGTTGTTTTACTTATTTTCCCTCCCATTTCAAATGTGGGACATTAGTTTAACTATTCTTAAGTATCTTCATTAAAAAAAAGTAACTTTGGACTTTGATTTCCTTTTTGAAGAAGCATTAATTTTAAGCTTTCCCATACTCTGGCTTCTCTTCAGATCACATAAATCTTTTGCCTTTTAAGCTTTCCCATTTTGCATGTTTTATTTAACCACTTATGCTGGTTTGCTGTATCTTGTATCTGTTGAGGTGCTCTTTGACCCAGTTCCTTGAATCTCAAGGTTAGTACTTAAAGAATGGGATCCCGAATTCACCCTTTAAGTGTTAGAGGTGACCATTCTCCTACTTATCTTTAGTAGACAGATGACAGAATCTTACATTTCTGAGTCAAAAATAGTACAGTATTTATTTGGTTGGTATTAAAGAAAGTCTCATTTTCAATACCCTCTATATGTAAATCCAGTCCTTTTTGTAGTAGCTTGGATTGAGGAAGATAGCTTTTGTGGAAAGTATAACAAAGGAGTGAAAATTAAACATTTAATAGGTGGATTATCTTTTATTTCCTCTCAGCATTATCATTGCTGCTAACATTAATAACACAATGCAATTTTAATTAAAAATGGTGAATGAAGGAAAGAAACTATTAGTACTGGGCAAGTTATTGGTTTGTTATATATTTACGTATGCTTTTAAAAGACAAATACTTTTTAGTGTTTTCATATGCTTGTGTTTGAGGCAGATCTTCAGATAGAGAGTTTTAGAGTCTGACAGACTTTAGTTTGACTTCAGTACTTAGCAAATTATCTTTGTGATCTTGGGCAAGTTCTTTCAATTTTCTGAGTCTTATTGTCCTTATCTATAAAATATAGTCAATAATTTCTTTCTTGAATGGATTTTAAAGAAGTTTAAATAAGTAGTACACATAAAATGCTTAGCACAGTGCCTGGAGCACCGCCAGTGCTAGGTGTTAGTCCCTTTAAGAATTGCTTCATAAATACAAGTTCTGTATTCACTTTGTAGCCATAGTTGAAAGATTAGCTTAATTAAACAAGAACCAATTGTCAGGAATAAGTTGCCTCAATTTATTGGATATAGTCATAAGTCTTTAAGTTTTTATGTCTATATTGCCATGAGTAAAAGATACTACAGTCATGAAAGAAGGCTTGTAGATTTGAGTCAAAATAGTTGTCATTCTATGTAATTGAACCAGAGATTTCTAGTCTCATAAAATGTATAGTAAAAACTAGTTAAGTCCTTACTGGTATTCTTTTTTTTTTTTAATGCTCTTTATTATTTTTTTTTATTTAAAAAAATTTTTTATTCCCATTAACCCCCCACCCCCGGCAATCATCAGCCTGTTCTCTATATCTGTGGTATTCTTTGGTATGCTTAATTAAAGATATTGAGGCCTGGCTTTCTGGCTGAATTTTGTTGTTTGTTTTGTTTTTTAATAAATGATAATATAGTGAGAATGAGTCCCTTTGGAAGGAGGTGTCAGAATTAAGAGCAAAACATGCACAACAGCAACAGGTTATTCGAAAGGTAAGCTTTTTTTCCTCTGAGCATAATCTGCATTTGTTTAAAGAGTACCGTTTATGGCCCAAAGAAGTCTCTATTGAATAGTCAGTGATTGCTCTTATATATTGGGTTCACAAATAGAAATAAAACTGTGAAATCAAACAAATTAAGCCAAGTGTTATGCATTCTTTTTAATAAAAAACTTTGTATTAGCTAAATATGGTCATTCCATACTCCCAGCTAATGTGTCATTAGCTTTTAATAAATGACCTTTTACCTGATATAACAATTTTAAGATAGTTTATTCTTAGAAGTATAATTAATACACTACCAATTTCTTACATAATTTTTACTGTAAAAGACATAGCCTTACTGTGTGGTTTTTTTTGTTTATTTTTGGTTTGTTTGTTTACTATTTTTTGCTCTAAAAGGCATAGGTATAATTTCAGAAAATACTAATATTATCAAATCAGTTGACCAAATTATGAGTTGAAAAAATGAGTTACCAATGTATGTCATTATTAGTCTGTGGAAAAGAAGTTAATACAGTGTTGTAAAGTAAATCCTGAATTTTAGTATCTGAGCTGAAAATTACTGGGGGAATTGAGAAGTTCTTTGTTGCATTGTATCCTTGTAATTTAATCTGTTCATGTCAGCTTTCATATGTTAATAAGAGGTGAAACATAAAAGTAATTAAGGTAGCTATTTTTTGCTCATGAGTAAATGGGCTCTAAGTTTAAGCGACAGGTTTGTTGGGGGGAAGGGAGGGTGAGAGAGCTTCAGCTTGTTCGTGCTTACAGGCCTTTAGCTAAAAATAGGGTTATGACTGATGGGACTTGTGTCTAGTGGAGCAGGCTTACAACAGAGATGAATGGTAGTTGCAGCCTTTGGCCTATAGTCAAAATAGATAATACTATTTTAAAAAAAAATCAATACGTTAAGTGAAGGTTGAATGTCGAATTCAATTTTAAGTGTTTAATCCAAGTACATACATTTTCAAAACTTCCGTAGCTAATTCCACCATGCAGCCCTGTTAAGAATACCTGATTTAAAATGATAAATGTACCTGAACCTATACTTTATTTTTAAAATCTGTTTTTCTTTTTCAGAAAACAGTGTTTTGGTTAAATATTAACTTAAAATACTCCATAATTTGTTGGGGTTGTTTTCCTCTAAAGGCAAAGGTAGTTGGTAAAATACTTACATAGCATTTCAGTTTTTCATGAAGACTAACATTCTATTTGATCATGTTTGAGTTTGAATCTTTGTGTTTTGGTGGAGGTTAGGGAGTTTACATAATGCGTGAAGACAACCAATAATTTTTTTCTCTATTCCTGGAATTGGTTTCTAACTCTGCCATTTACCCTTTAGTCTTGGATTAATTGGAAGTAATATATGTGAGGTACTTCTTCTAGGACTGTCAGGTACAGAAGTTAGATGCTCTAAATGTTAGATGCCTCTCTTCTTCAAGTGATAAACTCGGTACAATGTGATGCAGAAGTGTAAAAAGAACTGAGATGTAGAGCAAATTTCAGGAGAAATTTAGCCATGATTCATGCTCTTTTAAATCCAACTACTAATGAGTTTTTTAGAGTTCCTCCTAACACTTTTTTTATAAATTAACAAAAATAATATAATTTGAATGATTTCATAGATATCTTTAAGCTTAAAGGTTGTCTTTTTGTCAGCTCTCAGCGTTTTCTTTTGAATAAGCAATTTAATAACCTTTTCTTATACTCTAATGTTGTTTAACTCTTCAATTAAAATGTCTATATTTTTTTCTATGGGAAAGTTCATATTGGTTGTAAAGCAGACTGTTTAGTAGCCTCTTTTAGGGAAGAACACAATATTAAAGCAGTATGTATTTTTAGTTGACAATTCTCTAATCATGTAATTACATTTTACAAAGCTTACAGAGAACTTGTGCGCAGACTCTACATTTTCCTCCAAGCACGTTTGGCGTTTATTCACAGCCTCTCAGTGATGCACTGTTTTTCATAGTTCCCCATATGACTCTCACTGTTTTAGCTTCTTTAGGAAGTTGACAGTATAATTTCAAGGCTTACCCTGAGCCAGTGGTTCTCACATCAATACCACCTTGAGGGCTTGCTAAACACAGATGTCGCTGGGCCCAATCCTCGGAATTTCAGATTCAGCAATTCTGGAGTGGACTAAGAATTTACATGTTGTTAAGTTTCTAGGCCAGTGCTGCTGGTCCATGGACCACACTTGAAGAAATACTGTCGTAAAATAGGAAGGATGGTTGGCATGTCTTAATCTGTGATAGTTTTTCCTCTAACTTTAATCACACTTTGAAGATTAAACCAGCTTCTCTTAATTGTCAGCAGAAATCTTTGACAGATTTTTGTACCTAAACAATAATTTTTCTAGAATCAGACAATAAACTTATTCTAACTTGAAAATTTTATGATCTATTCTAAGAAAGAATAGAGGCAATTTCTTTAGCTTGTAATTGTATTACCTGATGTAAGAAAAATGTTGCCTGTCAAACACGTTTTCTTTTTTGCATCATAATCTTCTTGAAAGAATTTTAAGTAAAAAGTTGGGATCTATATCTAGGCATGCTTGCTACTTACCACCAAAACAAATAATTAAACTGAATATTGGATAGGTAAATGGATGGGTGGGTCCAATGATGGATGGATGGATTAATCGATCAATCTTAGGCATCTCTACATCCTAGGTAGTCGCAACTTTATCACAGGTTATTCTTTTGCCTGAAAGCTGGTATATTTCTTTAGATATCAATTGTAAAAGATGCATCCAGATTTAAAATGTGTTAATAAATGAGAAATTATACGACTTAGAATAGAGGACATACAGTATTTGAATTAATTTTGTAAGACTTGTAATGTGGATTAAAGAACTAGGGAGTCTATGATGGAAAAATTTTTATTTATATTTTTCTTTTAGATTGTCCAGTTTATTGTTACATTGGTTCAGAATAACCAACTTGTGAGTTTAAAGCGTAAAAGGTAAGTTTTTATGATACAACATTTTGACCTCTACATGGAGAACCACAAATTTTACTGTTTAATCATGAATGGCCCACATTAGCTGAGTGTATACCTGTTGTCCTGGATGAACATTCCTCCCTTGTTAAACTATACTCACAACATTTCAGTAGTGTTATTTCCTAGTGCTGTCATCCTGCTGTTATTTTGAGAGATAAGGATAGCCTAAATGGTCAATTTACAGACCCACATACAGTTGATAAAGAATCCATTTTTAATTTACATTAGCAGTTTGATGTAGCATTAGAAGGCCTGAGGGAAGTTCTTTAAAAGAGTCCATATCTAAAAAAAAAAAAATCAAAAAAATTTTTTTTTTACTTGATCTCTCTTATGGTTAATCCACTCATAAGGATCTTTAAAAGCCTATGTGTCAACCATGGGTTGTGATACCTATAAATGTCAGTAACTACCATTGTCACAACTAATACATAAGAAGAATAGGTAGATAAAGGAATTGTTGGAAGGAGAAAAAGATTATCTTGTAAGGCTAAGATTCTGGCAAAGCCTGGTTATGCTCACGGCTTATTATGCTGTGGCCTTAATTAACTACTTCCACTAACTAATTCTTATGATATTTTCTGTTTATGTTTTACTGTGTAAGTACAACTCATAAAGAGTTCTATAGTTCTGGAAAGGATAGCTCATTACATTTATTATAACAAACGTAGTACAGATGAATGGAGAAATAAAAATCCTAGACATAGTCATCCCCCAGTTTCTGTTCATAAGATATAATCATTTTTAAGAGTTCCTTATGTATCCTTACTAAAATTCTTTATTCATTAAAATTAGTGTTTATGTGTGGGAAGCAGTTTAAATTCCTTGTATGTTTGCTTCATTGAACATCATGAATATCTTTTGATTTTCAGGCCTCTACTTCTAAACACTAATGGAGCCCAAAAGAAGAATCTGTTCCAGCACATAGTCAAAGAACCAGCTGATAATCACCATCATAAAGTAAGTTTTCAGTTAAATTCTATGTTATATTCATTATATCAAACTAAATTTTATTAACAGCAATATTTCATGCAGAGAAGTTTAGTGAATAATACTCCAAGTGCTCATGCCCCAGGTTTATTAAATCATGACGTTTTCATTATTTGCTTTAGATTATTTTAAGACAAACCATTACAAAACTACGCAGTTGTCTGAATTGCCTGTTCCCAAGTTTTTCTCCCCCTCTTCAGTCTCCCCTGTCACCTCAAGATAGTCACCATCTTGAATTAGTCTTTATTATTCCCATGGTCATTTTATATGTGTGAATCCATGAATAATATTTGGTATTATTTTGCATATATCTAAACTACATATAAATGATACCGTTTTGTACATATTTTATATTGTCGCTTTTTTTACTTGGTCTTGCTTTTGAGATTGAACAGAGAATTAGTTCAACTACTGTATGATTTTAATTGAATATTATGATAATGTACTTATGCATTCATCCATTGGTTATTTTAAATTTCCAACTTTTATTATAAATGTGCACAGACTAGACTGTTTTTAAATACAGCAATTTGAAAAAATATTTTTGTTTGCCTTCATTTTTGTCACAGGCTCTCTGGATAATTTGTCAAACTTACATCTAATGACAAATTAATCCAGCCCAGAATCCAGACATCTTTTACTATCTTATTATCATTGTTACTTTCAGATCTTAGAATTCTAAATATTGCTGGAGATTTATTATTAAAGTATCGAGATTTTATTCTCAGGAAAATCGAAGTTAACCTAACATCTGGTTCTTCTTCCCACCACTGTTTCTAATCGAGAATATATAACAATTTTGTTTTTAGGATTGAAGATTCATGTAAGACAATGAAGATTTTTTTAATTTAACTGGATTTATATATTTTTAAGTACTTTACATCTTTTGCCTCTTTATTATCTAGTGTTGAAATTTATAGATTTTTACATTATACTAATGACCTCAGTTTGCTTTAGAGAATTAAATGCTTTTTTATTACTGTACCTGTGGTCTGAATGTATCTAAAAAAAAAAAAAATCGCTAAAAAGCCAGACTGACATTTAACTGTGGAATAATTAAAGTGTTTTCGTGTTTTTTTTTTCCTATTATTGAAACTATTTAATGAGCAAGAATAAAATATGTGTCAGAGTAGCTTGAAATGAAATAGTCCCCATCAGCACAGTGACGGTGGTTATGCTTGAAATTTCTGGTGAAGTCCTAAGGCTTTTTTACCCTTTGGGTATAAAAAAAATACTTTAAAATTTGAAGATATTTCCATAAAATCTTCTGAGGCATGTCACCTTCAAGGTCCTTTACAATAAAAAAAAAAAA